TTTTCAAAACTTTACACACAAATCCAAGAATTGCACACACAAAACGCAAAATGCCTCACATCTCTTGCAAAATAAAGCACTGCATTCAAAATATCGCAAACACATCTCAAAGGCAAACATTTGCAAACACCTTTGCCATAAAATTTATTCCTGTTATTATTTTTGTGTGTTACATAGAGAATTGTGTGTTGTGTTTTGCAAAAAGTCAAAGGCTGATCATTTAATGTATGGTTTTGCAGATTTGGTGTGTGCTTCTGCTGTTTGAGTGTCAGCTTTCAGAAATTGTGTGACAAGTAAAGATTTTGTGTGTAAGCGGTTGCAAAAAACTGTAAATGCTTACACACAATTCAAATACACAGATGACTTTCCTGCCCAGTAAACACTGAGATCAATAACACTGTAACAAAAAACTCTTACTAGGATTCGGGAATTATTTTTGCAGTTCAATGTCTTACAGTCAGTGTTGGGAAGGTTACTTTGGAAATGTAATAGGTTACAGATTACAAATTACCCAATTTAAAATGTAATAAGTAGTGTAACTTTTCAGTTACTTTATAAAAGTTTCTAATAGATATTTTCAACTAAATCATTTCCAAACATTTATACCAGGCAGGGTTAACCTAACAGTAGTACTCAACTCTGTTTACTGTTAGAATTTCAAAATCTTTCATCACTTGAATTAAGATTATATTGATTTAATTTTAAAGCACAGCCACCACAAAACCAGACTTCATAAAAAAATTGTTTAATACTGTTTTAGGAATCAAATCTTTGCATAGCTATGACACACTGGCAAGTAACAATACCTTGAAAAAAAAACTTACATCTTAAAACAAAGCATATTCATAAACCCAAATAGGCAATAAAACAGTTATTAAAACAGTTAATAAAAGAAAAACACTGGTGTCTCATAGCCATCTATGCAATTAGGGAAAAAAATTAATTAAATCTGTGTGTGTGTGTGTGTGTGTGCATGAACACTCTTTATCCTCCAAAATTCAAATTGGACAATAGAGCGACAGATAAAGTGACCACACCACACATCAGTCATCATGGGTTAGGTCACTGGGGCAGTGCTGTTTGTTGTAACGGGGCAGTAAGACCTGTTCCATGTGGTCATCACGCATTCTGTTTCGAGATGAGGTCAAAAGATCTAAAAGATCTCCATGACTAAAAAGAGACGCTCCACTGGAGCACTGGAAGGCAATGTGGTGTTGTACTTCATAACATGGATTTCGTTTAGTTTTGCTGCAACTGCATCATAGATGTGTCGACCTTTGAGACGTGTACGTGCCAATGCTGCAGAATGTCTCTCCAGCGTGTCTTTGTCAATCCAATGGCATGTGACTCCGAAGAAACTGCGGTTTTGTGCTGACCAAATGTCTGCTGTCGTGCAGACAGTGTCCACTTTAATAAGCTTGGAGATGACAGATTCCTTCATTACAGCAAACTCTCTGTCAATGCGCTGCTTCAGACTTTTTCGGCACATCCCTTTCTTCCCGCCACTGATTCCCTCAATCAATTTTCGGAAGGATGGCTGCTCCACCAATGAAAAGCACTGTACATCATCAACCAGAAAGTTGAACACCAGTTGGTTCACACGTTGCTGTGACACACTAAGCCCTGATTCTAGGGATGCACCGATATGAAAATTTTGGCCGATACCGATAACCGATTATTCTTTATTTTTGAAAGCCGATATCATCATGGGTTAGGTCACTGGGGCAGTGCTGTTTGTTGTAACGGGGCAGTAAGACCTGTTCCATGTGGTCATCACGCATTCTGTTTCGAGATGAGGTCAAAAGATCTAAAAGATCTCCATGACTAAAAAGAGACGCTCCACTGGAGCACTGGAAGGCAATGTGGTGTTGTACTTCATAAAAAGCCTTTTAACTATGGGAAATGCCTTAAGAAACGTCAGGTTGTTATCTGAATCTTCTAAGTACTTTCTGACTTCATCATGAGTTGTGCTGTCAGATGATGATTTGGTATTATTAAAGACAAAAAAGTTTTCCTCTGACTCATCAGATTTCACAGAGTTGTCATCTCTCACTGTAGCTTGACTGTGCAGTGGTTCCAGAGCAATAGCTTCCTGCAGTAAGGTTCTCCTCATGTCATCTCTCTTCTCAGGGCTAAGCCAGCTTAAGCAGAACTTTGGCAGGGTTGTGGTCGCCATCTTTGCTTCATGGCTGGCTAACACTGATCCAAAGCGCTGTTCTATGGCCTCACTGATAGTGGTGACAATGTGTGCATTATAAAGCAAATGAGGCATCTTTTCAAATAGCTTTGTCTTGAGGCTAAGCAAAGTAGGGATTAAAAATCCTAGGTAACATTTGCTTTCACCCTGGAGAGTGTCAATGGCAACAGCTAGAGGCTTCAGAACCTCAGTAGGGATGCAACGATTCACTCAACTTCACGATTTTGATTTCACGATTCGATTCGATTCACGATTATTATAAATGAGCCGATATGGGCCGATACCGATATGGTGGCCGATATATCGTGCATCCCTACCTGATTCTATCCTTGCTTGCTTCAAAGGTGGTTGTGTAGCCACAGGGGTAGAGGAACTTGCCGATGCATCTTCCATCACATCAAGCTGACTCGATGTTGTGTCTTGCATCAATAAAGTTCTTGGATGTTTCCTCTAAACAGAGATAGTTCTTTTTAGTTATATTTAAGAGAAAACACAATTCTAGATAATTATACTGTAGTAAAAATGTTTTTTCCTAAAAAATAGTAAAAATCTGCATACTATTCTTTTTACCACTATGTGTGTGTGAAGGGAAAACATTACACCATATAAGGCCTAATATTTATTTCTCACTAACAGAAGCAAGAGTAGATTCTAGTTTCATACTGCCAAATCCAAACAGACTCCCCCAGTGTAGCGGTCATAAAATCCATGGTATTGTTTTTTTTTTTATAATTAAAGTTACATTCCATCTTAAACATCGTTTATGACTAATTGGGGTGTTTTACTTGATCAGTGTTTCCCAACTGGGGTGCCGTGTAAAAAGTCGAGAAAAATAGGTTATATTTTTCGAAACGAAATAGCAGCAGATTGTCATTCAAATCATAACACACTTTTCAGTTGAAAACCACGCAGTAGTCTAAGCACTGATTTTACAACCTCAAAATTAAAATGGGTTAGTGGTAAAATTGCTTTGGTCAGAGGAGTCATCATAACTTATATTATATTAGATCTGACATTACCAACACATTTTCAAGTTGGAAAAATGTGAGCTAACGTTATATATTTTCTGTCAAAGGGTTCATAAATAGAAGTGTGTCTGATAAAGGTAGCTAGCAGACTAGCTAATTTGTTATGAATGTTTTGAATACAGGTATTGAATAAACTATGGGGTCGATGTACGCGCTGGTGCGTTTTGGTGGATTTTTTCCACATAGCAGCTAATTTACAGAAAATCGACTGACTACTCCGTCACTTTTTATTATACAGAAACGAGTAATATATCATTCGAAACTAAAGGGTCTGTTTTTATTTCTGTACACTCACAATAATAACACAAACTATATGCTTTTATAAAATAAAGAGAAGGTAGGTTACATACCTGAAATTATTTTTAAATTTCCAGCACTGAAATGCATTGTTATCACTCGCCATGGCGGCAACTCTCAGACAGGTTGTAGTAGCCTAAAGCTTTCAGCGGCAGTGTGGATTAACCTAACTGGCAGACGTGGTACGCCGCAAATTCAAACCGAGAACCAATCAAAAGCATCAGAATAGCACCGCTTTAACAAATTCTATCAAACAGATTAATATTATTCAACATATCCTAGGTTTTTAAAGAAAATATTCAGATGTAACCCTATTTGTAATCTTTATCATTTTCATAAGTAACTAATTTAATTATACCCTTGTTAATCAGCTATCATTTCCCTCTGATTTTAGGAATACATTATGGGTATGGGTTAGGTTTAGGGGTAGGGATTGGGTGAAGTCTGTATTTTAGGACAGTAATGTTGATCCAGGATCAACAAAAGATGAAAAGATGAAAATCACGGCGACCCCACAATACAGTACAGTAAAAAATAAAATTAAAAAAAGTAAATTTAGCATCCTCTGCACATTTGGCAAAATTACAGTAATACAGCAATATAGCAGTTTCTTGGTCTCCTGACAAAAGACTATATCTCTATGTCATTTGTCAGTTCTGCAAAAATGCAGTACACGTAAAAAATGGTTACAAATAAAATCTGACAGTCACACGCTTGAAGGTGTACAACATGTGCTACAGTTTACTGTACATATTGTGACGAGCGTCCGGAAGCTTCATCAGCGTCGCCCTGGAAACAAGCGAGGAGCACCTGGCCATCATCATGACAGACTGATCGGTCACAGCTGCACCTCATCAGGCGGCGGCTACATAAGCCACGCAAGCCCTGCCATCTAGGAGATTCCTCCATGAGACTGAGCACTAACTCGCCCGCTCATTTTCCCACAGAAAGCAATGTGTGACCGACCAGCCCCACAGGAGCACTGCATGGACCCTCTGCACTGGGAAGATGGAAGAGAGCACTCACGGCACCGGAGCACCTACCTGGACCTTTCTCATTAGCACCCATCACCCCAATAAATCCACCCTCCGGGGTATTGATTGAGATTACTTGTCGTGTGATTCTTCACCCCGTTACAATATAGAATAGTGAAATTTCCATTATCTAATGTACTGGTACTGAACTGTAATTACACTATGTATAAAATCCCTGTAGATGATTGGCTCTGCTCTCTCCGTTGTTAGGATGCAGAGATTCTGATTGGTGTGTCATCAGTTTTTAGGCTACTCATTGTTAAACTTTTTGAGAAATGTGTCTTTGTTTTGAAAACTGAATTAATGGTTTGAGGGAAAAAAGTGCCAACTAAAATCAGTTATATTAACAATCGAGAAAACTGCAATACGACTAGATTCTTACCTAACTCTGCTATTAGTTTCCGTGATCGGCATCTTCTTATTGATTTCATGTTATTGTTAGGGCTTATATCCATGATGAAAGTGGAGCAGCGGTCGGAGAATCGGATCACCAAACAATTACGCGAGGAATCTCCGACCTATCCGGACGGGATTAGATTTCTCAGGGGACTTCTGAGTTACCTGAAAAGCAGTAATTATCTGATTCACGAACAAATGTAAAAACTATTTGTTAGTGAACTGGGCCGCGCTTTGTGGTTTTAACTCAAAAAGATCCGGTTCATACGAGTCATTTGTTAATGAAGCCGTCTACACTGGCACGCTGCGTGCGCGTACAACCATCGTGCACAGTTTATTAAAAGACTTGTTTTTGCCATTATTTTACGTTACTCTGTCATCGCTGCGCCTGAAAAGTAACACATGAAACAATGCTTAACATTTATATTTTATTCTGTGATAATTCTGGGGTGGCAGATGGGGTTGCACAGCTTTTTCTTAGGGTGGCAGTTGCCACCTGTAACGCCAAGCCAGCAGAGGGAGCCCTCTCCTGAGTACTGACCGTGCTCCACTCCCTCTGCTTCCACTTCCTGTTTAACTCTCATATAAACTGAGACCAGTCCATGTGCTGATCGCGAAGTATTGCCAGTTTATCTGCCTTACCAAGCATTTTTCTTCATTTGTTCCTGATTGATTTCGTGTTTATGATTCTGCCTGACTTCTTGACTCATGGTATTTGTACTCTGCCCCTTTTGTTCTGACGCCTGATAGGACTGATGTTTGTGTTTCGACCCATTGCCTGCCTCTCCACTATTGTCTCTGCTTCTGCCCTTGTGTATGACGAACGATCTGCTTGCTTCTCTGACTTTGACCCTCTGCCTGATTGTCGAAATCTGTTTAAACCCTTGACCTTTAATAAACTTCCACTCATGGATTCTAACCAAACTCCAGCGTCTCTGTTACAGAATACTTTGCCTGTTATGAATCCAGCGGAAGTGTCGAATCTGCAAGCAGCATTCTAATACCAAGCTGAAATGCTCCAGAAATATCAGGAACAACTCACCAAGCTGCAGATCGTCAATGAACACCTGACACACTACATTCGATCTCTCCCTCCACCTACTCCTAAGACCGTAAGTCTCGCTCTTCCTGACAAATTTGACGGTACCGCTGAGCAATGCAAGGGCTTCATTCACCAAGTACAAGTTTATCTGGATCATCAAGGAGAGAGATTCGAATCAAAGGGCAAAAAGTGCGCTTTCATCATGACACTGTTGACGGGCAGAGCTATCGACTGGGCAGCAGCCGTTTGGGACTCGGATTCACGCCTGAGGAATTCAGTGACGTACTTCATTCAACAACTCCGTGAAGTATTTGAATATCCTCACGGCGGAAAGGACGTTTCGACACAGCTCATCAATCTGACACAAGGTAATCGTTCTGCTGCTGAGTTTGTCATTTAATTCAGAACGCTCTCTGCCCAGAGTGGATGGAATGATGTCGCTTTAAAAGCTATCTTTCACAAAAGTCTCAACGGCGATCTTCAGGTAGAACTTGCATGCAAGGGTGAGGAGTCCTCCTTCTCCGATTTTGTCACACTCGCCATCAGGATTGATAACCTCATGAAACAAGCTCCTAAAAGGAGAAGTGGAAAAGGTGGGCGAACCAAC